GAGGAAGACAAGTACCAAATGATTTCATTCATCTGTGGAGTATAAGAACAAAGAAAAACTGAAGGAACAAAACAGCAGCAGAATCACAGAATGCAAGAATGGACTAACAGTTACCAAAGGGAGAGGGACTGGGGAGATGCGTGGGAAGGGAGGGATAAGAGTGGGGAGGAAAGAAAGGGGCCATTACGATTAGCATGTATAATGTGGGGAGGGGGCACCTCGAGGGCTGTACAACACAGAGAGGACAAGTAGTGATTCTACAGCATCTTATCTTACTACACTAATGGACAGTGACTGTAATGGGGTATGTGGGGGGGACTTGGTGATGCGGGGAGTCTAGTGAACATAATGTTCGTCATGTAATTATAGATTAATGATACCAAAATTTAAAAAGTAATAGCTTATTTTCATACTCACAGGTCAACTGGAAACACTCTGTCTCTGGCTGCAGTTCTGTGGGGTTGGTTGGGGGACTCTGCCCCATGGGGTAGGGTGGGAGAGGGCCCTCGCTGAACGGGTACTGGAGTGTACTCTCCTGACAACAGTAGATGTGCAAGAAGACAAGCCACACGGAGCAAGAAAGTTTAAGCCTCTATTGTATCACATCTGCTAATATTAGCCAAGCAAATCACATGATAAAGTTCAAGGTCAAAAGATGGGAAGGTGACCTTGAATGTGGGTTTATAAGACTACTACAGAGGAATGTAAAATCAAAACCAATAATTCAACCTATCACACAATTTTTTTAAGTCAAATAAGTTGTGTATTGTACTAGGTATTTCCCCTACTCAGATCCATTATTCTCCTCTCTCTGATATGCTCTGTGCCCAGGTTGCTGAATTCTAAGGACTACCTGTATGGATTGGGCTTATCTGCTGGTCTATCAGCTTCATGGAACCAGCCAAAAGGAAAGACTGCAGCATATGGGAGAAAAAACTTGGGACATTGCTTCCCTGATTTTATAGCACATAATAGGCAATAGGTCTGTCCTTTGGTTGGTGTTCCCTTCATTAGCTGTGCCTGTATTGTTTTAGTTACCACTGCGGATGGCAGCAGCTGCCACCATTGTCGCTGGTCTCTGAGTATCTCATCGTTTTTTGTTTATTTCCTTAACTGAAACTCACACTGATTTAGATAGTCCTCTCTCACAGTCTTTTCATTTTAACCATCTGAAGTAAATTCTGTTTTCTGCTAGGATTCTAACTGCTACATAGATATAATTAATTTCAGTATGTATAGCACAGATCCTTCTCAATTACTAATCACAAATGCTTCTCAAAATGATGTGGCGACTTTTGCTAAAGATAAAGAATCAAGTAGAGTAAAATTTTTTTTATCATGCTATAAGCTGACCGTTTTTATAACTGACTACAACACAGGTTTTAGCTATTTGGCTAGAAATCTTAGATTCCATACTATTTGCTCAGTATGATACATGACACACTTTTTGAAGTGTAAGATGTTTCTCTACTTCAGTTATATTGCATTCTGTACATTTATTCTGGGTTCTCTCTCCTAAATTCTCTTTTGTGGGGAGGTTACTCTTTTTTTTCCTTAAGGCTGAATTTGGCTACCTGCTCTTATCTTTGCAAATACAACTCTTTGATTTAACTATGAAAATGACCACATGTCCCAACATTTTCAGCTGCAACTAGTGACCACTCCAATCTTCCCTAAAGCCAGTGACATTACAGGATGTTATGTCTCAGGGTCTTCTCTGGCTTGATAAAGACTTAATTCACCCACTGGTAAATACAGCCTAGTGCCCAGCACCCACACCACAGTAACAGCTCCATCTTTCATATGTCCTATAAAAATTGTTTTTCTTTTTTTAAAATTATATCCTACTATGAAGAATCCCTTGGGTCTCTTTTCTCACCACATCTCTGAAAGAGCAGTTTTCGATGGAACACAATACAATCTTCCTCTAGGAAAAAAAAATCTAATTTCTCTTTTCAACTATTCATCTTTGCTACTTTCATCATTAGAGATATAAGTTGAAACGAGGGTCTACTGAGGTTGAGTGTTAGTTGGGTATGTTGAGAAAAGCATGAGAAATCAAATTTTAAAGAGATAATTAAATCAAAGCACAAAGCATATAGGAGAGAAGTTACCATAGCAGAAAAGTAATTCAGTTATTAAACAGAGAACTATAAGCCCAGGACAAAAAAAGGTAAAAACCATGTACCATACTGAAAACATGAAGCCTGGGCCATATGACTACACTGGACTTGCATGACTCCTATATAGGAATGAATTTCAAGGCTTGGAGATAAAACAACCCTATTTCTGTGATAACCAAGAGGATTAAGAAAAATATATCAGCATTCACCATGTTTGAAAGTGTAAGGAGAACCAGAAAGAAGCCTGGTGTCTTAAACTATATTACAAGAGGATTTTTTTTTTAACTGGAAGGTTAAAAATGACCTGAAAAAAAGTGAACAATTTTTGTGTGAATTTGAGCGCTGCTATATTCCACAGACACAATGCAGTCTGCATATATTTTACATCCCAATTTGCATTCAAAGCATTGTTTTCTTTACAACTGCCTGCAAGCCTTGTGAGGCGGTGGGTACCAACTGGTGTCACAAAAGTAACAAGCAAATGCCCATTATCAACATCTTCCTCAACAATGACTATCAAAGAAAGTTCCCCAGGAGTTCTGCATTCACAGTCCAGAAAGAAAAAAGACTTCCTGATATTTTTAGTTGGTAGTTGCAGGAATTTATCTTTAGACATGTGTTTTCAACGTTGGGATTCAAAGACATGCTGTTTTCAGTCTGGCCTGCAAAGATCATGGAAGCACAGCTTATAATCAATTTCCACTGAGCAATAAAACGCTCTAGTTACTATTTTGGAGTTTAGTTGCTTCTGTCTGGTTGCTATGACTTGTTGTTCCAAGCGCATTTTCTCATTCCTGCACATTCAGTCCAATCCCCAGGGTTATTGTCTAAATTCTATTTTGTCATCTTATTCAATCCCAGTCTATTTCGTGATTCAATTCTTCTTTAAAATCTTGTCTATTTCCAAACTATGTGGTTTCATAATTCTTTTCTATTCTTTTCTTGCTTTTACACATTAATGGGTTTGCCATGCTGTGGCTCTTTCTTCTTCACAGGGTCTGGTTGGTGAAAAATCCTGTAAAAAAATGATTGCTCTTCTGCTGTTTTCAGTTTTATTAAAATCAATATTATTTGTATCTCAGGTTTATTTCTAAGTTTATAAGGTTGTGTAGCTATTTGTCTTATGTATGTGTTTTATTTCCATATATATATGACTATGTATGTGCATATATGAAATGTGTATATAAATGTATATATATATATATATAAAATATGTGTGTGGATATATATACATACGGAAGCCATTGTTGTTACTATTAACAGTAAATGGAAAAAGATCCTGATTTTACTATCTAAATCCATTTTGTAGTTATTTATCTTAAATGGAAAATTTCTAGGTCCTTGTGTTTTCTAATTTGTAA